TGCACCATAATGCAGCCCTCTGTGCGCCAAGCAGCACTGCTCAGTCTAGCTCTCCCACAGAGCTCTTACACGCAGGCTGCCAGAAGGGAACTGCCAGCCAGGCTCCGGCCTAGCTGTTTATAAGGGCCCAGCCCTGCCCCCTTCCGGTCACATGGCCGACCTGGTTACTCCCACAACCCACAGCTGAGCTGCCCTGGTGATTGGCAGCTGCTCTAATCTCTACTCAGGAACGGGGTACCCAAGTGCCCCCGTGACAATCATCTTAAGATTTATCCTGGGACAATGGATATGGATGTCTGTATGACTGCACTTTGTCCCAAGTTAAAAAGGTTTTTCCCAAGACAAATATGATGTCTGTTTGTAGCGAATAAGTGTGTTTGGGATGTAAACTATTATTCCCTAAAGATTAGCATAACTCATTGAACCCTCTTCACTGAAAACCCCTTAGGGTTATTCTCCAAGATGGCAATGTTACATCTACTTAACTATCTATTCATTAATGACATTATTGTAAACTGGTAGCATCACTACATTTAAGACTTGCCTACTGTTTAGTAGTCATTCTTCCTAAAAGCTCTGTATTTCACATGCAAGGGAGACAGCCTTTCTCTTGTCCCTTGAAGACAATCTTAAACACTAGTATATTGCAATGGACCTTGGGTACAGTTTATCATGCAACTATGGGATCATCTGATCAAGGCATTTTCAATATACTATGCCCTATTTTATCTTTTAATTTTCAGAATGCTCTAACATGTATGCATAGTAAGAGTATCTTGAATACTGGTATTGCAATATTCAGCCCCATAGGGGCCGGAATATATATCTCAGGTAAACTTGGGAATCATTTAGTCAAAAGATTCCTAGGTACTATCCTCTCAATAAGGGGTTTATTTTAACATTCAAATTGCTCTAAAACCACAGGCATGGCAAGATTGTCTCCAAAATTGTCATTCTATATCAGGGACTGGGGTAGACTTTGGGAGAGGAGAAAGGAGAACACACGTTGGAACCAATGGTCAGTTCACACCTCATAGAGCTATTGTGTCAGTCTGTATTCATCTCCATGGGATGCTCTGATTCATCTGAGAACACCCCATTGACATGAATGCCTTACTTCATATACAATCATCCTATGACTCATATGGCTGTGAGCAGACCCTTCTCTCTAAGTTAGTCCTCAAAGTGAAGTACATAGGGTGTACTCTTCTCCCTCTTGCTGCATCAAACTGGTAAACATGCTCTTCACAGCCCTTTGGTTATGATCCTTCCTTTTTCTCTTTAGACATATCCGACCTTACTGGGGACAAGGATGAGAAAAGAGCCAGCACCTGAGTAGTAGTGAGAATATTTCCAGGAAGCGCTTCCTCTTGCCTCCCTTTAAATCATGCCCCATTTATTACAATCACTTCTTCCAATAAGGAGAATTTATTGCTTAAAAGTGTTGTTAAGACTGAGTTAAATTTGTCAGAAGTGTTTTATACTCTTCCAAACAGCATCTACATTTAAACTTTTAAAATCCAGGATATAAAATTAAGACAAAACAAACTTAGATCTTAGTAAACTATGAAGTGAAGGTTCACTCTATCCATGCTAAAGCCCTACAGAAAGCACTCTTTTACCCTCCCTCATGTGCAGTGAAGTTATGTAAAAAGTTATGTAATCAAAGCAAAAAAAATACATTTTCAGAGAAGACAAAAGCATACCTGTTCCCTCATTTCTTTTAGCTTTTCCACCCTCTTAAGCTTTGTCACATATTCTTGAACTTCTTTCAGCCCCATATCTGTGCACAGACGAACTAAGAATCGCAGACCTAATTGAACATTTAAAATATATGTAGAAAATGGCTTAAAAGATAGTGAAGGAGCAGCGTGTTCAGAATAAACCTGAGCTTCTTGAAAAGCAAGAGGGTCCAGTGGACATGGCATCCAACAGGGGCAAGGGTTTCCTGTGATTTAACACCAGCCACTCAGGTTGGATTCAATATGAATAAATTTTACTACTCTGGTGTTTAGCTTCCCTATCTATAGAATAGCAATACTATATAACATGTTTTCTAAGCACTTTAAAATTAAAAAAATACTAGAACTGAGTTGTTATTGTGAAACTATTATCAACAGCATTTTATTGAAAGCAATCCATTAATACTAGATGAGCTGAACACACTGGATACTATCATAGCTATGTTTTTGTAACTATTTCTTTGCTATGGGTTCATTTTTAGCCTCTGCATAAACAGCTAAATTATATAAAGAATTAATACTAGTCATTTATCAGTCAGAAATAAACAGTGATGTAAAGGTTAAATGCAACTAAATGAAGAAAGAGAAAGAACTAATAAAGTAACTCCTTGAAGCCATAGTCCCAAATCTGGAAAATAACTTCTACTGTACTCATGTGCACAACAACAAATAAAAACCCCAATTTAAACACAATGTTAAACTATGACTAACCAGAAGAAACAAGTTATCAAAAATAGCTCTCTTAATTCATTGCTGTGGCAAATTCAAGGAACAGGAGAATTCCAGGTGGTTCTGTAACAAATTCAGTATCATGGACTTGTACGGACAATATCCCAAGAACACTGGAATTACTGAAAGATTTGTAAAACAGTCCATCCCAATAATGCATGTTGCCAAATATGAACATGACATATTTAAATTTTTACTTCTTTTTAAAGTGATGCCATTTAATAGTATATCTTTGGAAAATCTCCTCTTCAAGAGAGATTAGGAAACGTGGCAAAATTAGTAACATCAGAATGATGCAACTATACTTTCAGAATAGCAGTTCCCTAAATGCAGTCCACAAAGAGTTTGCATCTGACCCACAAAGGTGATCATCCTCATCAGAACCAGCTGATCACAGAAGTTGTAGCCACTAGATGAAGGCACTGGCACAACATTGCCAGCATAGAATGTATCTACCCCTTTCCTACCCCCCGTAGATACAGATGGGCCAAACTGCTCGGGAGACGATCAGTTCTATAAACTGGCCCAATATGTTTTATTAGCAAGAAAAAACAGCTGCATAACTTCCGCTCAGGCCTGAATTAAGCTATGATGGTATATCCTTCTCATTGTAGCTCTGCGCACATAAGACATATTCCGTCACATCTATTGAATATACAGGTATTATATTGTGGGCTAATTTTGTTTTGTGGTCCCCAGAAGAATCTCTTATCTGTTAAGTGGCCCTCGATGAAAAAACCTTTGGGGATCCCTGGAAGTGTTCTTCATTAGACAGTTTAAAAAAAGAAATTATATTAAGTGACATACTGATATCTTAGCAACAACCTGGGACATAAGAAAGTTGTTATAACAGATAGCAGTGATTCTTCAACTGTCATTCAGGGAGCTCTTCCATTTGGGTCCATAGACATGTTTCTGTCTGTGGAAAAGCATCTATCAAAAAGTGATGCTTCCTGCTATCGGTAGCCCAGTCTGGGGTTCTTTAAAGGTTTTCCAGAGGCTATTTGAACAAATAAACTTTAAAAATGTGCCTCATGTCCTTCTGGGAAATTTGGTAAACATTTTAATCAAAGGTTTGTAGATTAATAAATTAGAAGGGCAACAGACCCCGGATGGAAACCAAACCACAAACAGGTCTGGAGAGGTTAAAAGCAGGCTGGGCTAGAGGCAATGACTCAGAAAGGGCCGACGTAAATATTATACTAAGGAAGAGTAAACAACAGCATAATTACAAAACTGAACTTGGAGGAAGGATCTCAACTAACAAGCCATTAAGCACATTTACTTTCATCTTCCTCTCGCTGTACTGCCCTCATATTACATTGGTCAAGCAGAACTGTCACAAGGAATGTGTAGCAGTAGTACTGGAAAAAAATAGTTCAGGAGAGTGTTTCTGTTTAAAAAAAATGCACAATATGAATTCCAAATAGCTATACTCTACATATCCTAAATAACAGTTTTATCTGAAAGTTGCACTAATCAATGGGAAAAAAAAACCCTTACATTCAACATTTTCTGGAAATTTTCTGTGAATCTCCTTGTAGGTATCTAGAGCTTTTTGGTAGTTACCTGTAACCAAAATAAAGATCTTATATGAATGCCTCCAATACAAAATGGCACATAATCAGACAGAAATTTGATGGAGCTTAACACTGCCTGGCTCTTTATATCTGCTTTACTTAAAGAGTATAGGTTTTAATGAACTAATATCACATTTTTAAGGTAAAGCTTGGCATTCTTTAATTCTTACCTAAATATCATAAAATGTAAGGGTAGACGTGAACATTTCAGGGAGCAAAAAAGCTATGTTAAACTATTATCAACATTAAGTGACAGGTAGAGCTCAACTTGAACTGAAACGTGCTGGCATGACAGGCTGGGAATTTCGCCAGGACATCACAAATGAACATAATAGCAGCCAAAAACAACTTTCCCAGAACAAAACGTGTGCTTGTTCTTTGGTGGGTACTAACTCTCTCTCTCTCATGTCAGATTCACCCAGGTCCTGCTCATCTTTCCTGCAGAATTAGATAACTGGACAAGCAAAATAAGGAAATTTGCCAATCTGGTGTTAAGGCCATTCCCATCTCCCCTTTATCTTCAGCTCTGGCTCTGGGCCCAGTTCCCTGCTTCTGCCTGGTTGGGCTGGGCTGTGTCAGAGCAGGGTCTGCTACTGCTGACTGTCCCAGAGCTGGAGACAGAGCTGTCCAGAAGGTATGTGGTTAGGGACACAGGTGGTGGGGTGGAGCAGGGGGTGGAGGAGAGGCAGGCCCAGGCACAGGGGGCATGGGGCAGATGATAGGGAGGCATTTGGTGGGGGCCAGGCATCAGGGGGACAAGCACAGGCATCACAGGGCCAACAGGGAAGGCAAGGGTAGGGGTTTGGCTCCTTGTCCCCCACAGTTGCTTTCCCTGTGAAAGTAGTGGGGGGATGAATTTAAGATGACCTACCAATAATTAGATTCTGTATGTGCAAAATTATAACAAATTTAGCATTTTCCATGTACATAATCTAATTACGGTGGGGTCATCTTAAATTCGGAGTTGTCTTGGATTCTGGTAAATACATTATTAAAAGTCTGAATTGTATTTTGGCGCTGAGGATGTGGTCTCTTCCCCAGTGTCCTTACAATGTTCAGCAGATCCAGATAGCACTCTCTCACTAACATGAATTAGCATGTGAATTCAGTCTCAAAGTGGTTCCCTGCATTCAGTTTGTACACTTTAAAAGCTAACTTTTAATATCCAGCAAATATATCTACTACTAAAAATTTTTTAAAAATATGGTCTGTTCTGTTAACCAACTGTAAAATCATCTTAACTGGCTAATGCTACATACAGAATACCGTGACAACAAGCAAAAAAAGCACGGCTGCTTATACTAGTTTGCCCTGTTCATTTTAACTTTGTATGACTGCTCCACTCATAAGCCAGTACAAACATGGAAAACTGAAACTCAGACTTAAAACAAGATCATACCAAGTATGTCTTTATAGTAATGTATAAATATGGGGAAAACAAAAAAAAAGAAAAGCACGCTATTGCTAAGTACATTTTAGGGCCAAGCATACATAGAACACATGTAGAACAGTTCAGAAGATAAAAAAAAAAAAGTAGTAATGTAAAATGTTACCAAATTACAAAAAACAGCAAAAGAAAGGAAGGAATGCTTACCACTTCTTCTGTAACAACTAGCAACCATCAACTGCCATTTCACTTGAATTGGTCTGTGTATAAATAAATATATGTTTTTGTTATGCTATCAAATGATAAATAGGCCAATATGCTGTGAATTGCCAAGAATTAATAAAGATCCACCATTAAACCAGTATTACTATAGTCTGGCTGTCAGGCATGTGGAGTGAACTCTTTCCAGGAGTAGCACACAAAATTATAAGTTCATCAAACTGAAAAATAAAGACAATACAGGGCAGCAAATTCTGTAAGAACACACTGAAGCACATACAGAATGTAATTTGAATTCGCTGGTATGCTCTGAACACATCCTCGAGGGTATCATACAATAACAGTTTTTAAACAATTTTTCTAATAATATCTACCATGTTTCTTTACATACTGTACTACTTATTCATTACTTATTTTCTTCAGATTTTTAAAATTCTATCCCAGAAAAAGTCAATTTGACCACTAAACAATCTTTCTACTTGTTTTTAGTCTAGTACTGAGCAAAATAAGCTTATGTAAGACAGAAGTCTGCTTCATATTTCACTTGCTGCCACATGCCTCTACTGCAGACAGCAAAAGAGTGAACTTTTTATGACTCTCTTTTATTAAACAGCTACTAATAGACAGCTAGAAATCCCAAATAGAGAATAAACTGTCAATGGCTAGAATTTCAATTTAGCTCTATAACTCCCATTATTTATGTCCAAGTAACACATTAATAAAATCTGCCCCCATAAGATTTTGAAAAACTTTCTGTAATGAATTAAGAAACGTATCTTAACATTAAGTGATTTAAATAAAGTGTTACTGAATGGTGGCATTTACATTATGTGGAACAGAGAACTGGCAATCTGTTTAAATGCGATTCAATCTGCAATCAGTGATAGATAATAATAATAATAATAATAATAATAATAATAATAATGGGCCCAGGAGGGGGAGGGGGTAAAGTGGTAAAGGCATCTTGCTGCCCTTGGGTCTGAGACTGAGCCTTGCTCCAGACTCATGTCAGAAGCTACTCCCAGTTAACACAGCTATGATAAGAACCTGATCTTTCAGGCTGGAGTTTGACAGCAGATCAGCTACTGTTTTTTTTAACATTATGTTGTAATTATAGGTTTCAGGACTTGTGCTTTGTTGTCACTGGGCATGTCTACGTGTGCGTTTTAATGCACAGTAGACTATTTTACTGTGCATTAAAGCATAACAAAAACTGTGACATTATGCTACTGCACAGTAAAATAATCTACTGTGCATTAAGTGTCACAAAAAAGCATGCAAATGTGCTGCTGCACATTAGCACAGCCTAATGCACATTATATTAGTACCTCACATTGGAGGTACTAAATGTAATGCGCACTAGAAAAGGAACATTAATGCACATGGTGATGTGCTCACTAACACCTAATTTGTATTGCGGTTAGCGTCCAAAGGTTCCAAGCACAACTTGAGGTCCCATGTGAAAGTATTGTACACAGAAAAAATCCCTTCCCTAAGTATTTACAAAATAAAAACATGACAAAAACACAGACTAATTATGTGGGAAAATAGTCCAAACTACAATAAAACAACCAAGGAGGCAACAGGCACAAGTTTTGTTAGTCCATATTTTTATTTTAAAATTTGACAATTTATGTTTATCCCTTGCCTATTTTTTAAATCACTTCAACTCTTGTCTTTTTTCTTTAATTTTTATTTAGCCTTCACCTCTACCTTTCTTTATAATTAACACTAGTATGAGTTTAATCTTTTTTCTATGTATATCTTTAAAAAAAATTTAAAACCCCCCAAATTATTTTTTTATAATTTTAGTTTTTATATCATTTTAACTCTTGCAACTTTTCTTAAAATATAGTTTTGTTTAATTTTTTCTTATCCCATCTACTATTCATTCAGTCTTTCTTTTTGTGGTACCTGTGTCATTCAAATACTTGAATATTCCCTTGTTCTTTCAGGGGCATTGAGCTAGATGATATGGATAATAAGACAAATAGTGGGTCAAATCTCAGATCATCACAAATGACTCTAGCAATAGTGGAGCTTGGTTCAGTCTGATTTTTGGAAGCGATTCTTAAAACACAATAAAGAGAAATCCTGACAACCCCTGAGGTAGCGAGTTAGACAAAATTTAATATATCTGTTGACACAAATTCCCCATGAAAACACATCTGCTGTCCTTTTCTCTATACCTATGTAAAATCTCAGGTGAACTCTAAGCTTCAAATTCAGATTTGACCAAACTTTTACTTGTTGGCCATTTGTATGTTAACTTCCTTTTGTGAGTCTAAAGCAATAATTCACAGCCAAGGTGTCACAGCACTCTGGGGTACCTTGAGATTCTTTAAGGGTGTCATGGGGTGCCACACAAGGTTGGCAACGGTAGGCTTACAAGCATGTTTAACAAGATACAGGTTTCCATTTGAAATCCCTGAGCGTAAGTGTGGTCTTTCTGAGTTCTCTGCAATGAAAAAAAACTGTTCTATTATTTTCCACAGTCAAAAAAAAGAAAAGAGAAAACTAAGAGCTAGTATTTTTCAAGGGGTACCCCAAGTCTATCCAGAGGTTCTTTGAGTCTAAAAAGGTTGAGAACCACTGGTCTAGAGTAAAATATGTAGACTAAAATATGTGGACTATGTAACTTATTCTGAAGTGCGTAAGTAATCTATCAAGACACAGATTACCAATTAAGGTAATTTAATACACTGCAGAGAGAATACTCAAAATCAATTAGACTGGTCAATGCATTTCCATTGTTGGCTAGTCATACTGTACATGTTTTTGCACTGTTTGATGTTTGCAAGCCACTTTTCATGAGAGTAGGAACTGTATAAAATGAGGGAACTTTCAAAGTTAATTGCTGAAAGATGCTTTTGTTTGAGTTCAAATCAACAGCCCTTACTAGACGATGTCATCAAGGAAAGGAAACATTTTACTTTTGATTCCATTGGTGTTCCGTAATAGAAACAAAAACATTCTGTAAATAAATATAAAAGAGGAGAAAACTGATGAACAATGCCTACCATTATATTTAATGTTAATATAACTTATGGCATTAATGTACTTCAGTTAAACTTATCATGTCTGCTAGATATAATTACAAGAGGAAAAACTCTCAAAGTATTTTACTTAGCACACAACAACAAGCCTTACTTACTGAATAAGCGCAGCTCTTTCAAAGTACTGAATGGCTTTTTCACAAAACTGGGTGTCAATGTAATAGGCCCCAAGCCATTCAATGACCTCAATGTTCGAAGGGAAATACCGATATGACTGATAAAACAAGGAAGGTGAAAGAAACAATTTTTTTGTGATAAACAACTTCTTTATGTTACTTCTGGAATCTTACTTTTTAAGTGTTTAATTTTCCAGATGCCAAAAAAATGTAATACATAAATGAAAGTAATGTAACTAATCCCCAGACAGAATTTGCCAGGTTTTGTAATTACAGAACGCTTTAGAAGATTTACCAGAGATGAGTCTCTCATACTTCCCATTTGCCCATACTGCAGTACATTAAGAGTAAAAAGAGTATTTTGCCACACAAAGTTTGCTTTCTTAGGCAATTGCTAATCTGCTGGAAAGCCCAGTGAAATGCACTCTTTATTAAAAAATTAATATTATGAAAATAAAATTAGTCAGCTCCTCAGAGATTCTCATCAGAAACTGTCCACAAGGACCTAAAAATACCGGTCCCATTTAATTCCCTGATGTAATTCCACTGCCTTTCAAAATTATATCACGGGTGACTGTTCAACTTGTAAAACAAAAATATCTTTTCAAAGGGAAACTTTATGGACAGACTTAGTAAAGATACAAAGGACAGAGCAAATACAATGAGTAAACTCCTCAATCACCTCTCTGACATGCTCCCTACAGCTTCACTACCGCAATACTATGGAGAAACTAGTGAGGACTACCCTTGCTCTACCTGCCCTGTGTATAGAAGTCAGTATATAGACCTGTCAGTCTGACACTTCTATCAATTACATCCACTCAAAAAGTCCCCAGGTCCCAATGCTGCTTTGCAGTTCCATTGAAAAATGACATTATAAAAATGCATAAGCAGTTTCATGGCCCAGGACTTCCTCTCTTCCAGAGTACTGCCCTCCTCAATGGGCTTCCTCTTGCCTACTTTTTGGCTCTTGTGTTCTTGGCTGTCAACTGCTCAACTTCAACAGGAAGTATGGAGGGTGCTCTGTGCCTATCCAGTCCCCAACTTTGTGCTTAGGTCATTTAATCAGGAAGTGGGATATGTTGGTGTGGCAGGGCAGTGTAGGTGCCTGCCACTTTAAGGGCCTGAAGCTAGCAGCCAGCAGGTGCCTGATGAGGGCAGCCATTTTGGATCCAGGGCTGTCCATATAAACATGGCATTTTCCCTGCTGAAGGGCCAGGCAACAACGTTGCCTGGCTGCAGGTATCACCTGGAGGTAAGGGAGGAGCTGTAAGGGATGGTAAGGAGGCTCCTGGTCCTGGGCATGACCTAAAACTGCACCCTGCTGGGAATGGGTGGCCTGGTGGGGCTCTCAGTGGTGCGGGAGCACCCAGAAAATGCCAGGCCAGTTACCACCCTGGTGAAAGGTGTGTTGGGGCTCCTTAACCCCAGCTCCCACAACTGGGTGGGTTGCGTACCACTGGAGGTAGTTGGGGCCAGGCATGGCTGCGCCCATCCGAACCCCTTGGGGGTGTAAGCCCCAAGGAAGAGAGTGGGGGCCAGGCATGGCTGTGGCCACCTGAGCCCTGCGGGGGTGCAAGACCCCGAGAGGGAAAGTTGGGGACAGGCATGGCTATGGCCACCTGAACCCACTGGGGAACAAAGCCCCAGGGCCCCAAGTAAGGGGTGATCTGGAGCCCCAAGTGAGGGGGGCAGAATGGAGCACCAGTGAAGGGGGTTGAGATCTGTAGCCCCAAGTGAGGGGCAGTGCGGTAGCCCCAAGTGAGAGCGTGGAGTCATGGAGCCCCAGTGAGGGGGTAGCCCCAAGTAAGGGGCAGAGATCTGGAGCCTCAAGTGAGGGAGGCAATGTGGAGCCCCAAGCAAGGGGAGTAGGCCCAAGTAAGTCTTCGGATGCCTGAGGCCGAGGTTTGGGCCAGAGGCTGAGTGAAGGGGACTCAGCCCCAGAGTGAGAGATGCGAGTCCTGACCCCAGTAAGTCCTCCACTACTGGGAGGCCAAGAGTGGGTCGAATGTAAGATCCAAAGTAGCACCACAACCTGCTGCCCCGGGGGGGGGGGAGGAGAGTCTCCTGTGAGACCCTGGGGCACCAGTCATGGTGTGAGGTACCCCAGCTCCCTACCACCAGGAAGGTGGACCCGGAGAGAGTGTGGAACTATTGAGGCCAGGAGTAGAGTGCCTCTTCGACTGGTCCATGCTGGGGCCAAGACCAAGAAGGTCAAAAGGGCCAGGCGCCCACCGTGAGGGGTGCCCAGGGTCATGGGCCTGGGACCCCGCCTGGTCTTAGAGGTGAGGCCAAGGCCCATGTATGGCTGAAGGTCCCGAGTTGGGATCGCGCCTGAGAGGGGAACCAGCTACAAGGAGCTCAGCAGCCCAAATGAACGCAGCATAGGCAGCCTGAGCGGAGGGATCAAAGGAGAGTCCTGCCAGGAGGATTCTGGAGCCTAATGTGGGGCTGGATGCCATCTGAGAGGCTTGGGCTGCGGTGTAGGGGAGGAACAGAGCTGCAGACAGTGCCCCCTGGCATTGGGGCAAGAAATGGGCAGCCTTCCATTTTATTTAACAACTTATTAATTTTCCAACAAGTTGTGGCAGGTGAGACAGGTGGGCAGCGTGTCCAGAGGCAGGTGGGAGGCTGGCAACGGCTGGCCTGAAGGAAACCCACTTTGCCGCAGTTGGTTCAAATCCCGAAGTCTGAGAGGACCCTAGAACTGAAGTTCTCCATGTCCTAGGCAGGAGGCTTTTGGACAAAAGGTGAATGGTGTTCTCAGAGTAAGTATAATGGTGCAGGTTCTTGAGGAGACACAGGCACAGGGATGACTATTTTAAGAAGCTCAAACTGTCAGACACTAATGTGCACATCTCCAGGAGCAGATCCGGGAGGCGGGGATGGGAGTGGTGCAGTCGCACACTCCTTTTGCTGCCACTGTACCCAGCGGAGCCCAACAGCCCATGCAGCTGCTCCCTGCAATTGAAGACCCCAGGCTGATGGGTGTCATAGGAAGGGGGGGACCTACCCACTGTGGCTGCTGTTTCAGGCACAGATGAAGCCCAAGAGCGACTCCTGAGCTGTTCTACCTGTAGGCTCCAGGGAGCAGCTGAGCTGGGTGCCAGGCTTGGCTGGCCATGGCAGTAGCAGTGGGCAGGTTTCCTCTTTCTGCACCTGATCCCTGCCACCCCCTTCTGTACTACATCTCCACTGCTGGTGGGAAGCAAGTACTGGAAGGAGGGATCTGCCCCTTCTGCCACTGTCCCTAGCTGATGCAAGTGCAAAGGGAGCTCTAGAGCTGCTCCTGCCCCACTCCAGCCATGGGCTGCAGGGAGCTACTGCATGGGGTGCCAGGTTCCACCAGGGACAGCAGCAGCAGCACACAGGATCCTCCTAAGGTCTGCTCCCCCAGCCAGTGGGGTACACTGGGTAGGGGAAAGAACCAGGCAATAAGCAAGTGCTGGAAGGAGGGACCTGCATGCTTGCCTGGCTGGAGCAGAGCAGGAGCAGCTGACTTCAGGTCAGCTGGGGATAATGGTGGCACTGGAAAGGTTCCCCCCTTCCCACACCTGCTCTCTGCCTGGCTCCCCAGTGTCCCCGCACTGGCCTGGTGACTCCAGCCACATCTCAACCTCCTTCCACCTTGGTCTGAGAGGCAGTGACTGTCCCTTTAGTAAATCTGGGATCTGCCTATTCACATTACATGCAAAATGGGGGACTTACCAAATACGCACAATAGCTATGTTTTCCAACACCTAGGTCCATTCTCACCTAGGTATTGAAGCCTATGCTTTTTTAAATTTAATGTTAGAGAAAGAGAGAGAAATTCAGGCTAAGTGATACAAACAAATCCTTTTAAATCCAGGCCTTGATGAACAGAAATTGGCTATTTGGACAAAATGAGACTTATCTTGGTTAATCATGCACACATTATCATCTTACCAGGTAAAATGTACTGATTTATCAAGTTATAAATTTACTGAGTTTTAGAGCAATGGAAAAGACTGCAAAATTATGTATCCATCAGACCAATGGTACTCAACTTCTGGCCAATGGGCCGAATTCAGCACATGGAGCTCTAGCATCTGGCCTGGTTCAGAAATTTGGCAGCAGCGAAGCACTGGCATCATTAACTGCCATGGCATTGCCATTAATTGCCCATAGGATCCAGTCTGTAGACTGACCTTGTGCCACTCATATATCCTGCACAGCTAAAAGATTAATAATCTTAACAAACTCCCTAGCTGTAAGTCAGCAATAACTATCAGGCTATAAACAGATGTTGCCCTTGGAGCAGGATCAGCTATGCTGAGATGCACAGCTCATCCACTTCATTGGGTGGCACCAGTGTCACCCACTGTCCCATAGGATCAGGCCCCTGCTGCTCCTGGGGCTTCAGGGGCCTGACCCTGCAGGACAGCTGCAAACAGGGGAAACCCAGTTTCCGTGTTTGCAGAAGTGCACCCCAGGAATTCCCCCTCAACAAGGGAGTCCTCAGGCACATGTGTCACACTGTTGCACCCTGACTTAGGGCACTCTTCTGTAAATGGGGAAATCCCTGAGACAGGACTCAGCAATGTGACACACATGCCCACAGAATCATCTGCTGGGGGATTTGTGGGGCCTGCAGGACTGGGTTCCTGAAGCCCCAGGAACACCTGCCTGGAGCAGCTGGAGAGTGTGGGTGGCTTCTGGCTGCCATAAAGCAAACTGATGTCTGCCTCCAAAAAGCTGCACAATTTTTTTACTGCCTATTGCCGTGGTCACAATTTTGGGCTTTGCAGAGTGACAAGGGACATGGACATCTGTTTGCTTGGGCTTTGTGCAGTCATAAACATTTTTATGAAGGCACAAAGGCGACATCCGTTTGCAGCCTCAGTTAAGTAACTGGAGTTCCAAAGTGAAAACTACTGTTAGAAGAGAATCTGGTTCACTGCATCTTTTTATTGACTAAATTCTACTAAAAAAATATCAAAGTGTAGAAAGTCCAATTTTGATTATGATTTCTGTAAAAACTATATTTTATAATTTATAAATTTGAAACTTATCCTGTATATTTTTTTTGGTGTTCTACTACAATAAATTCTTGATTTACAAAGAATTGCACTTTGCTAAGACAAGAGTCTGGTTCTACTTTCTGTGCGTACATTTTGCACTTTAAATGCTAGGGAGGAGACATGATTATTTTAGCATGTGTCTGCTATTCTTTTTATAAATATATTAGAAAATAAAAAAGACACAATAATAAAAAGTCAAGTACCTCAAAATAGTACTGAAAAGCTTGGGATTTATCACCTTCATTATCATATAGTTCCCCTAGTTTTGACAGCACATGTGAATCAGTTGGAACTACGCTGATCAGCTGCATGAGCCACTCTATGGCTTGGTTGGGATCCTCCATTATTTCATATCTGAGGAATCTTCAGTTAAGGAGAATTCAAAAAGTGCTTATATTTAGTTTTATCAACTGGAATTCTTACCATGGCTTACATAATATCAGTGTAAGCCAAAACCTACATCCTGAAAAGATTTGCCAGGCATAGCCATGGAGAAATAAATTTGGATTTTTTTTTTCCCATTTGCATCCTAGTTTCTTCCCCATCAGGTAAACATTGGCTTAATTTTTAGCAGTCTAAGATTGCACTTTGGGTCTGGTTTCTTTGGTTTCATTATTTTTACAACCCTTCAATAGGGTCACTCCTTATTAAGTCAAAAGAGGTAGATTTCTTCAAGCATGGTTCTGTGCTTAAAAAGGGATTTGGCAAAATTTCCATCACTGTATTCAGTAGAACTGATCATTGGGTGAGAGTCTGTCCTCAGTCTCTAAGAAGCACAGCACAGCACAGGATTGGCAGCTCATGGGGAAAGGGCCACCTCTGCATGCTTCTACTTGCTGGTGCCAAAGTAGCTCATGTTGGAATAAGACGGTGTAAGTTCCAAGTTGCTTTATGGGTGGCTGTAGAGCTCAGAATCTCTGCAGCACTCCGTTACAGCTCCTTCCTCAATCTCCCCTCCTACTCTCAGTCTCAACCCATGGCCTGCTGTGGGAAGGTCCAGAAGACAGTGTTATACAAAGTCAGTGAAGGGAGACTGTCAAAGAGCCTCAACGAGCCATGGCTTTTAGAGCAGTTTTATGCTGCTCCAGTCCTTTCACCCATCGAGAAGGGGCCAGAGCAGGACTGGGGATTCTCACTTCTTGCACACATTTGAAGTCGTATTTTCTCAGTTTACTGAGTAAAATAAGGTTTTGCTGCTTTTATGACCATCAGGTCGTTGTACTTTCCTACTGGTGATGCACAGAGCCAAAAGACCATAAATATATTTTTAGATCCCAGGATGAGTTTGCCAGGAAAGCTAAGGGACAATTATTATTTCAGATATGAACTAAGCAGTTCTGATCTAGAAACTCAAGAACCAACAAGGAACACTGTAATGATATTTTTACAAATCCTTTTTTCCAGAATAGAACGTCATTTTGATAAACTCTGTTATTGTGCTGTATTATTTTAAGGTCTTACCTCCATTCTGTTTCTCTCTCTGATATTATGTTCAAAATAATATCAGTTACATAGTAAAGATTCCAGGACTCTCTTAAACTTTAACTATCTTTATACACATATTCCTTATTCAGAATTAATTTATTAGCTTCAATGACACTGCTCCCCTGAATGAGAGTTGCAAATTCAGTACTTATTTTAATACTCATCAAATATACTCAAGGATATTCTGACCAAAAGTATTTTTTTTAGCTTTACAAGAAACAAATGCACACCAGGATTAAACAGATCTCATTTAAGCCTTTGACTAATATTTACTAAATTGAAGTTCTGGCATCACAACCAAGCAAAAGATACATGCTTGCTATTTGGTAGAGAACTTGGGCACTGTTTCGAAGGATTGCATGAAGTTTCAGAAAACAATCCAAAGCTTCATCTATTCTATTTAACTTCTTATAGGTTAAACCTAAAAATAAAAATCAAGGTTACAACATGAATTCAACAACACAAACTGGATATAAATATAGCCCGAATAACTAACAGAATAATTCAGAAAGGTGAAGCAGAAGCACAGTATCCTAGGGATGTTATCAATGTCACTGTACTTCTGTCTGAATTCTGCACCTAAATTATTGTAATAGGTAATGCCTGAAACAATTTTTTCCTTTGTTTTCAATTTGTTCAAGCTGTACATTTGGCAGCAATTTTTGAAGAATTAACTACAACCTTAGCTTGTGTATTCAGTTTGTCAGTCACATTCAGAATGTCTGGAATTTAGCTTTTTTCATACAGATCTTTGACAAAACAACAAGATATACATAGACACCATTTTTACAGAGAAAGCTATATCACTAGTAAAGGTAAATATAAAATAATATCTTCTCCTCGTATTCCTGTCTCAGCCTCTGAGTGGAGGCTAGATTTACTACGGTAGCTGCTTGAGAACCACCCTGATAGTCCTTTCTAGGAAGCATGGCTTGAATGAACCACAGCTGATTATGGGTAAAGGTCATGATTTTAATCAAGGCTTAAGGCTATACATAACCCCAGTTCTTTAACATGGAGAAGTCAGGAGTCAAAAGGGGCAAAATTTGGTGGAGTATTACCATTCAACATTTACATTTTAATAGGCAAGAGTAGACAGATCTTATACCAATTTTCATCTTTAGAGTGATTCGTGTCTAACAACACTGGATAATATTGGTGCAGTTTTATCGTGGAAGAAATGGGAAGCACAAAAGACACTGTTACTACCTTAAATCACTAAGCATAAGAATTAACAGAACAGTGGAAATGACAGAATGTATTCTCATTTCAATGTACATTTCTAAAAAGGAAGAGTTTGAAAGTCAAGAACTCAAAACTGGAAGTGCCAGCTTTAGCTGAAAACTAAGCTACACAGGTACCTTTAGCTTACCAAGATTGTAAAGTGCTTCGGTGCATGAGGAATCATTTCTTAGAGCTTCCTTATAGAACTCAGCTGCTTTTTCATAGTCCCCACTTGCAAAAACAGTATTTCCTTTATTAGTAAGAGCTGATGGATTGTATCTATCAGAATTCACAGCTAAATCTGCATAGTTAGATGCTTGTGTCAATTCATTCTCCTACATAAATGAAACACAAATAGTGTATTAGCTATTTATCAGTGAGAAGTTTCTTTGGATCTGACCTGTCTCTCTTAAAAGAACTATAATGGTAATCAGAAAAAAAAATGGAAATGTTTCCTGACTTCAGTCCTAACAACATTTTTTATGCACTTGGGGAAAACAGGTTACTTTTTTCAGATCACAGGGTAAAGCCTATTTTGTCATCCTGTTTCTCTCCCTGCTTTCAATGCTGAACTTATGTTGTTAGGGAATAAATGACAGGAGATAAATCTTTTAAAATCTTTTTAAATCTTCAAAAAACGCTGAATTTATTTTAAACTCTACTTAACAATTAATTATTAAATCCAACTGCAGAGCAGGCAGCAGTATTCCAAATGCCACTCCATCACTGCCTCCTCCCCAACTCCAGCTAGGGGAGTTACGGGTGAGATTCCCAACCCCCATGTGCAGGCAAATAAAACCCTGAAAAGAGGAGGGAGGTAAAAGCACAAGTGAACCCAACAGGAAGCAAGGAGCAGCTGACAGGCTAGGAAACCAGTTGTCAAAGTCAGCTTTCCTGAAGTCTGAATAAATACAAGCTCAGGAGGCTTGTCAGTGAGGCCCTAAGGGACCACAACCCCAGAGGGAGGGGAGTCCAGGAAGAGTGGTTGTTAATCAACGGAGCGAACCTCAATGCACAAGCTAATTCTATTCCATCTCAGAGGAAAGGCAGCGAGAGGGCACAGCAGCCCCCCTAGCTCTCCAGGGATGCAGCAGACCTCCTGAGGCTAAAAAGAAAGGCCTACAAAGGATAGAGGATGGGATGCACCTCCAAGGAGGATTATTCTGCACTGGTCCGGTCCTGCAGGGAGCAAACCAAGAAAGTCAAGGCTGCAACTGAACACCAACTAGCTTCGAGCATCAAAGACGATAAAAAGTCCTTTTTCATATAATATGGGGAGCTGGAGGAAAAGCAAGGGCAACACTAGACCCCTGCTGAACCAGATGGGGCAACAAACAACTGGATGCCCAGGAAAAAGCCAACCTATTAAATGGGTACTCTGCATCGGTTTTTCATAAGTCCCATGGGACGCCCATGCCCGCTATGGGACAGGGAGGTCTGGGTGAGGGAGATCCCCTGCCCTCCATTAATGCTGACCTCATGAAGAAAGACCTTGAGAAGCTGGATATCTTCAAGTCAGCCGGCCCTGACAATTTACACCCCAGGGTACTTAAGGAGCTGGCGAGCATCATAGCTCAGCCCCTGGCACGGATCTTTGAAAACTCCTGGCGCTCTGGTGTAGTGCCCAAAGACTGGAAGAAGGCCAGTGTGGTGCCTATCTTCAAGGGAGGAAAGTGGATCCGGCTAACTACAGGCCCATCAGCCTGACCTCTATCC